ATTGTCTTTCTTTCTTTCTCGTTCCTGTTTATTAGACAAGAGTCTCACTCTTCGGCTCCAGCACTAGGAGTGCAGTGACATGATCTCACGCTCACTGCAATGTTCTGCCCTCCCAGGTTCAAGCAATTCTCTGCCTCAAGCCTCCGAGTAGCTGTGGAATTACAACGGTGCCCCTTGCCACCACATCATGGTTAATTTCTCTGTATTTTCTTAGTAAGAGATGGCGCGTTTTAGCCCAGGATGGTCTCGATCTCCTGACCTCGTGATCCACCCGTCTCGGCCTCCCAAAGTGCTGGGATTACAGGCGTGAGCCACCGCGCCCGGCCGAAATAAGAACTCTTAATGAAGATGCAGAGCAATTGGAACCCTTAGGCCCTGGGTTCCAATTCTCTGAACATCGGGTTGGTGGGAATGGGGAATGATGCAGCCACTAGGGAAAACGGTATGGAGGTTCCTCAAAAAATTAAAAATAGAATGACTATATGATCCAGCAAATATCATTTCTAAGTGTACATCTGAAATAACTCAAAGCAGGATCTCAAAGAGACAGTTGCACACCCACATTCATTACAACATTATTCACAGTAGCCAAGAGATAGAGGCAACCCAAAAATGGCCATTGATGATGCAACAATAAAGAAAATGTGGTTTATTCACACAGTGGAATATTATACGACCTTGAAAAAGAAAGGAAATCCAGTCACATGCTGCAACATGGATGAACCTCAAGAACATTATGCTAAGTGAAATAAGCCAGTCACAAAAAGACAAATACTATGTGATTACACTCATGTGAAGAATCTAAACCAGTCAAAATTATAGAAGCAGAAAGTGGAAAGGTGGTTGCTGAGGGTGGAGGTGGGGGAGGGAGCATTCATGTTTAGTAGATACACAGTTTCAGTTTTGCCGCCAGAAAAAGTCCTCCATGTCTGTTTCACAAGCCTTTAAATACACTTAAGGCTACTGAACCTACACTTAAAATGGGTCAGAGGGTAAACAATGTTAATTTTTTTTAAGTACATAAAAGTCATCATTTTAACCACTTTAAAATACATAACTCAGTGGTTTTTAGTATATGCAGATGTTTTGCAACCACCACCATTGCCTAATTCTAGAACATTTTTATCACCCCAAAAAGGAGCCCCGGACCCATTAATCAGCCACTTCTGTTCTCCTCTTTCCCGTTGGCAACCACTAATCTGTCTTCTGTCTCTGGATTTGCCTATTCTGTATAAAGGTAGTCATATAACATGTAGCCTTTTGCATCTGGCTTCTGTCACTTAAGTCTTCAAAGTTGATCTGGTGGGGTACGGTGGCTCAGGCCTGTAATCCCAGCACTTTGGGAGGCCGAGGTGGATGGATCACCTGAGGTCAGGAGTCCAAGACCAGCCTGACCAACATGGCGAAACCCTGTCTCTACTAAAAATACAAAAAATTAACCGGACGTAGTGGCGGGTGCCTGTAATCCCGCTACTCGGGAGGCTGAGACAGGAGAATCGCTTAGAACCCAGGAGATGGAGGTTGCAGTGAGCTGAGATCATGCCATTGCACTCCAGCCTGGGCAACAAGAGCAAAACTCTGTCTCAAAAAAAGAAAAAAAGGAAATAAGCCAGTCACAAAAGGACAAATACTATGTGATTACACTCATGTGAAGAATCTAAAGCAGTCAAAATTATAGAAGCAGAAAGTGGAAAGGTGGTTGCTGAGGGTGGAGGTGGGGGAGGGAGAATTCATGTTTAGTAGATACACAGTTTCAGTTTTGCAGCCAGAAAAAGTCCTAGATGTCTGTTTCACAAGCCTTTAAATACACTTAACGCTATTGAACCTGCACTTAAAATGGGTCAGAGGGTAAACAATGTTGCGTGTTTTTTTAAGTACATAGAAGTCATCATTTTAACCATTTTAAAGTATACAATTCAGTGTTTTTTAGTAGATGTAGATGTTTTGCAACCACCTCCACTGCCTAATTCTAGAACATCTTTATCACCCCAAAAAGGAACCACACACCCATTAATCAGTCACTTGTATTCTACTCTTCCCCCTTGGCAACCACTAATCTGCTTTCTGTCTCTAAGGATTTGCCTATTCTGTATAAAGGTACTCATATAATATGTAGCCTTTTGCATCTGGCTTCTGTCACTTAAAATGTGTTCCAGGTTGATCACGCAGGTTGGGGTGGCTCACACCTGTAATCCCAGCACTTTGGGAGGCCGAAGCAGGCAGATTGCTTGAGCCCAGGAGTTCGAGACCTTCCTGGGTGACATGGCAAAACCTCATCTCTACAAAAAATACAAAAATTAGCCAGGTGTGCTGGTGCGTGCCTGTAGTCCCAGCTACTTGCAAGGCTAAGGTGGGAGGATGGTTTGAGCCCAGGAGGTAGACGTAGAGCAGAGATCGCACCACTGCACTGCAGTCTGGGTGACAGACCAAGCGCCTGTCTCAAAAAAAAAAAAAAGCCAATCCATGTTAGCATGGATTGGCACTTGATTTATTTTTATTGCTTAATAATATTTCATTATATGGATAAGCCACATTTTGTTTATCCATTTATCAGTTGTTGGACATTTGGATTGTTTCCATTTTTTTTTTTTTTTTTTTTGCTATGAAGAATAATGCTTCCATTTAACACAAATTCTGTTTTGCTCGTCGAAATAGATTGGAAGGAAACACATCAGATTAGTAGTAACAACTGCTCCTGGGAATGAAAGGAAGGGAGGAATTGGACTGGGCAGAGGAACAAAGGGGACTTCAGCTCTGTCTATGATGTTCTATTTGTTTTATATATATAAAAAAAAATCTGAAGCAAAAATGTTAACAGTTGCTTATTCTGAGTGGTAAGCACATGGGTGTTAGTTAAGTTCACCTCTGAGCTTTCTATATTTTAAATGTTTAAACTAAAACAGTGCATACTCTGAACCTACACCTTCCTATAGCATCGGGGGTTGTGGTGTCCAGGATAAGCAAACATTGAAGTGTGGGGAAAGGCCAGAAGGAAGAGGCCAAGCCATGGCTAGAGGGGGCAGGCTAGAGGCCCTTTGAGACCCAAGGCAGAAACTCTGACCCCACCCGCATGACTCTCCTGGGACCCCCCCCAACCAGGAAGAGGGCCTAGATCTAATCTCCATGACTCCTCAAAGAAAAGCCAGGACAAGGTCCAAGTTGGGAGAGACTGTCTGCAACCCCATGTCTCCTGACTTCTCTGGGTGCTCTGAAAGGGGTCATCCACCCCACTGTCTTTACTTTCCACCTTCCTCAATCCTTTGCTTAGGACCATTACATCATTTGTGAGTCTGGGTGCAAAATGACAGTGTGGAGCCCCTTGCTCAAAGGCTGATGCCAAGGCAACTCCTAACTCCACAGGGGCAGCCACAGTCTGAGCAGTGTCAACATGCCAGGGACTGAGGCAGGAGCCATCAGGGTGAGTAACTGGGTGCATGCATCTGTTCACGCATGCTTCATTCAGATGAGTGCTTAGCATGTGCCAGGCCCAACTGGGCCCTGAACATAGAGAGGGTGAGCAAGACACAGTCCAGCTTTGAGAAGCTTACATTCTAGAAGGGGCATAGATGTAATCACAGACACACAAGAGATCATCACAAATGGCAGTAAGTGCTATGAAGGAAAAGTAGAAGGACCAGGAGATAACGATGGCAGGGTCCCCTGATCACGAGACTCCCAGGGAGGGACACTGGAGCCACGATCTGAGGGCCGTTATCTTAGCAAAAGAGGGGGATATAGTGCAAAGGTGAGATTGGGAAGAGCATTCCAGAACGTTCCTGGCAGATGAGCATGTGACATCTTCAAGGACCTGCAAGGCCAGTGTAGCTAGAACCAGGGAGGGAGGGACAGAGAGCCCCCGATGAAACTGAAGAGAGGTCAAATTTCCTGAGCCTTGTTCTAGTACCATCGACGGTGGCTCCTCTTGTACTATCATTTCCTTAATATTTTTCTTTAAATTGACTCCCTTTGTATCCTCTTAAGCAAGAATATTTATGAAATTAAAGAATGACATAACACTTCTATTTTTCTGATTCACAGGTGAAATTTTAAAATGTCCTTCCTCATCCCACCTAAAATTGTCCACCTTATCACCTCAGTTTGGAAAGACTTTTGCCAACTCCTTTCTTTTTTTTTTTTTTTTGTAGTAATTCACATTTTATTATTTTATCATTATGAATAGTAAAGTCCACAGTTCAGTCCTCAGACAACATTCAGGTAAATGTTTTACATATGAGATACCTGCTTGTAATGTGATGACATGATATATATATATATATTTTTGAACCACTGTGATTTAATAGTCTATTAAAATGCCATTACACATTTAAAAACTGAACAATTACAACAATGCAATCTTCAAGCAATTAAAAACAAAGAATTGTTGAGCCACCGTGAGAGATCTGCTGAGTAATCTGGCCTTTCAAATAACGTCTAGTGGAAACCCTGTTTTCTCCTTCCATCTGAGGATCATTAAAAATAAAAAACAAACCTACACAAAACACCACCTGCTCTGAGTGAAAGTCAGGATTCAGCCACATGACTCAGGGACTCACTCCCCAGCGGTTGGTGAAGGCACCATCACTCCAACATGTGCAGGAGCAGCGAGGGGTCCACCTCCACGGCCCGCAGCCCATTGTGCAGGCTCTGGAAGGTGGCCTGCTTCCCGAAGCGCTGCCGCCAACGGACCAAGGCCTCCACCACCTGCGACTGCACGTTGTGGGGGTGGTTGGCCTTACAGCGGTAGATATCTGTCTGGGACAGTCCCAGAGACAGCACCACGGGCTCCCACTCAGGGCCCAGCCTCTGTGCCAGCCGGTTAATCTGCCGGTCTGATGGGGAGCTGTTGAGGATGTGCGAGGGGATTCCAGTCAATCTGTCACCTGCAGGCAGGTCGGTCATGGCCTCTTTCCTTGCCTTCTTCAGCTTCTCCCTGACCCAGGGAAACTCCTGTAGGGAATCTAGGAATGTATCGAATGCTTTAGGGCCCCTGGAAGGTAGGATATCCAGCAGGAGCATTGTTTTCCGGAGGCCTGTGGTTTGAGCATTGATTTCTTGAACATGGTTTTCCGTCAAGACTCCTTCCTGGTAGAGGTACTGAAGAACCAGTCCCTCCACCAACACCTCTGCACCCAGCTCCAGGCGAAGTGAGCGGAGTACTTGCTTGTCTCTGGCCTCCATTTCTCCGTCTGCAACCACGTATCTTTGGGGCGGGGGAGAAAAACTGCAACCGGAATCCTGACTGTTAGGGAACCTGCCCCATAAGCACCATCTTTGTTAAAGGCGAAAACCCTGCCAACTCCTTTCTTAAGAGCCCTGGGAAGCCTCTAGCAGGATTTCAGCTGGGTGAGAGGCTGGCGACATGGTCTCATTTACGTTTCTGAAAAAGGACTCCGTCTGCCATGTGTAGAGTGGATTGCAGGGGGGATGGAGAAGGAGGTTGTTGCAGGTGTACGGGAGGAACCACTGGGGGATCAGATTTGGGTGTTCAGGAGGAGAGGGGAGCTGGCCTTTCCCACCAGTGTCTATACAAGCCCCGCTCTCCAAAACCAAAATCTTTCTTTTGTGTCCTTGTGCTGACTCAAGGCCAGTTCAGTGGGTTCTCCTGTGACCCTCCTGTCTCAGTGTCAGCTCCAGGATTCAGGACGGTGTGTCCAGTGCCCCTGTGAGAGCTCAGATCCCTGGGTCGGTCAGGCTGACCACAGTCAGGACTTTGGGTCACACCCAGTCAGGCCCTGTCGTTTCCAATACAACAAAAACAGCATCCACAGACGGGCCACTCTGTGCATGTTTCAGGAACTGAGTTATATTATTTCTTTCTTTCTCTCTCTCTCTCTCTCTTTCTTTCGCTCTCTTTTTCTTTCTTTTCATATGGTCTGGCTCTGTCACCCAGAATGTGATGCAGTGGTGTGAACACAGTTCACTGCAGCCTCAAACTCCTGGACTCCAGTGATCCTCCCACGTCAGCCTCCTGAGTAGGTAGGACTACAGCCGTGTGCCACCACATCTGGTGAATTTTTTTTTAAGAGATAGGGTCTTACTATGTTGCCCAGGCTAGGGAATTCCTGGGTTCTTGTGATCCTCCCAGCTCAGAAGTTATATGATGTCTATCACTCTATCACCTATGTGTTGATGACCTCTAAGTCCACACCCTTAACCACTGGGCCATACTGCTTTTTTTCCCTCATGACCCTTCTCTCACAGCCTGCCTCACTCCCAAACTTTCTACCGTCAGGAGGACTTCACTCCCTCTGACATTGCTTCCCTGAGGGCTTCTGTCAGCTCTCCCAGCCTCCTCTGGGAAGGGTCCTTCCCCATTACTGCTTCTAAACCATTGCTCCTCCAGTCTCCTGCAAAACAACAAAATCTCTACACTTTTACGACTCCTGCAAAACTGCCCTGTACTCCTCCAGTTCACAAGTTATATGATGAAGGAGCTGGGGAAGGGGGATGCGGAAATGTGCCCACCATGAGCTAGATAGCAGGGTGCAATGGTGACCAAGAGTGATACAACCTGGCACCCCCCATGCAATGGGGAAAGGAAGCAATTCCAGGACAACTACCCAAGAAAGGGAAGGAAACCTTTCTAGAGCAGGCGATTTCTGAGCTGCAGATTTCAAAAAGGCTGGAGCAATGCTGGAAGGTGGTAAGCACAGTCATGGATTGGACAAGGAGGGAGAGGAAAGCAGAGGCAAGGAAAGGACAGTTCTGGAAGCCTTTGTTAAGACATTTAAAGTTTACTCTGGGCCGGGCACGATGCCTCACACCTGCAATCCTAGCACTTTGGCAAGCCAAGGTGGGTGGATCACCAGAGGTCAGGAGTTTGAGACCAGCCTGACCAACATGGTGAAACCCCATCCCTAATAAAAATACAAAAATTACCCGGGCATGGTGGTGGGCGCCTGTAATTCCAACTACTCAGGAGGCTGAGGCGGGAGAATCGCTTGAACCCGGGGGGCAGAGGTTGCGGTGAGCCGAGATAACGCCACTTCATTCCAGCCTGGGTGAAAGAATGAAACTCCGTCTCAAGGAAAAAAAAAACAAAGTTTACTCTGAAGGCAATGGAGAGTTACTGAAGCAATTCAGCAGGACTGGATTTAGATTTGTTTATTTATGTATACATACATATGTATATAAACATACATACATACACACACACACACACACGCACGCACTTATTTAGAGACAAGGTCTCACTGTGTTGCCCAGACTGGAGTGCAGTGGTGTGATCATAGCTCACTACAGCTTCTAATTCCTGGGCTCAAGCAATCCTCTCACTGGGGCTATAGGCAGACGCCATCATGCTCAGATAATTTTATGTGTGTGTGTGTGTGGAGGCCAGGGTCTTGCTCTGTTGCCCAGGCTGGTCTCGAACTCCTGGCTGCAAATGATCCTCCTGCCTTGGCCTCCTAAAGCATCTGGATTACAGGTGTGAGTCACTTTGTCCAGCCTGGATTTGCATTTTAGAAAGATGCTGGCTGGGTGCGGTGGCTCGCACCTGTAATCCCAGCACTTTGGGAGGCGGAGGCAGGGGGATCACCTGAGGTCAGGAGTCTGAGACCAGCCTGACCAACATGGAGAAATCCCGTCTCTACTAAAAATACAAAATTAGCCAGGTGTGGTAGTGCATGCTTGTAATCCCAGTTACTCGGGGGGCTGAGGTAGGAGAATCGCTTGAACCCAGGAGGCAGGGGTTGCAGTGAGCCACACACTCCAGCCTGGGCAACAAGAGCGAAACTCCATCTCAAAAAAAAAAAAAAATTGGCCAGGTGCAGTGGCTGATGCCTGTAATCTCAGCACTTTGGGAGGCCGAGGAGGGCAGATCATGAGGTCAGGAGATTGAGATCATCCTGGCTAACATGGTGTCTCTACTAAAATACAAAAAAGAAAAAAAAAAATTAGCCGAGTGTGGTGGCGGGCGCCTGTAGTCCCAGCTACTCGGGAGGCTGAGGTGGGAGAATGGCATGAACCCAGGAGGCAGAGCTTGCAGTAAGCCATGATAGCACCACTGCACTCCAGCCTTGGCAACAGAGCGAGACTCCATCTCAAAACAAAAAAAAAAAAAAAAAAAAGAAAGAAAGAGAAAGAAAGAAAGAAAGATGCCTCTGGCTGCTGTGGGAGAATGGAAGGGGATGGGAGGAGACCCAGGCTGAGAGACCGTTTGGAGTGAAAGGGAGAATTAGGATAGGCCTAGGGATCCCACAAGGTATGAGCAGGATATGGCTGGATGGGGGAGTAGAGTAAAAAGAGAAACAGGTTTATTCCCAGGCTCTTGTGATGTGGGCAATTGGGTGAATGGGGAGGACCAATTGAGTACCTGCCCTATGCTGGGAACTGAAGATGCTGGGAACTGAAGCACAAACAAGACCCACTAGACCCCTACCTTTGTAGAGCTTTCCCTTCAAATAAATGAATACATGATAGATTTTCATACATTTTGGGAAGGTAATAAGCAGAGCACCACGACAGAGAAACATAGAGGCACCTACTAAAGAAGGGTGACTTCCATGAGGAGGAGATGTGTGGGCTGAGACCTGGAGGATGAGAAGGCTCCAGCCAGAGAAAGTGAGTCCTAGAATAAAAATATAGCTAATGCAAAGACCCAGGGCCAGGGTAGCTGGAGGGGATGTCATACACCAGGGAGGAGTGCTTGGAGGAGAGCCTGGAGACTAAAGGCCTGAGTGTCACCATCAGGGCCCAGAGGAAGTGCCTGCAGTGTTCAGTACACCAGGCAGGGACACAAGAGGAGGGGCAGGGAAAGACCCTCAGTTCAGCCTGGGGCTTCATGAATTTCAGGTGGCCCATGGTTCATCCAGGGAGCATGTTGGAGCTCGCTAGAGTGGAGCTGAGCTGTCGATGCGCCTGTGGGGGTCACTGGCATGGATGGTAATCAAAGTCAGGCAATTAGAGGAAACCACCCAGGGAGAGCAGCATAGAGAGCCAGGTTTAAACTTGAACCTGCAGCAGAATGACCTGGGGAGATTGTTAAAACACAGATTGCTGCCAGGCGTAGTAGTATGAGCTTGCAGTCCCAGGTGCTCCAGAGGCTGAGGCAGGAGGATCACTTAAGCCCAGCAGTTCAAGACCAGCCTGGGCTACATAGTGAGACTCCCACCCATCATGTGTCTTAAAACAAACAAACAAACATGCATTGCTGAGCTCCCACTCCTGAAGTTTCTGATTCAGTAAATCTTGGGTGTTCCCAGGTGATTGTGAGCCTGCTGGCCCAGAGGCCACACTTTAAGAACCATTGATATTACATGGGAAGAGAGGACCTAACAGTAAGAAACGGGACCATGTAGAGGATGATAGAGAAAGACCAACTTGTGAAGACATTGCTGAGAAGGGGCAACTGGAGAGGTAAAACGAAGTTGTGTGAATAATTGAATAATATCTGTCTCCCCACTAGGCCATAAACTCTAGGAGGGCAGAAGTCAGGGCTGTTTTGGTCTCTATTGTATCCCCAGCACCTAGCACAGATCCTGGTCCCAGAAGGCACCAATGTTTGTGAAATGAAGGTGGGGAGATGTGAGTCAGCTTACAGACGCCAAGGAAGGGAAACATTTCAAGGAGGAGGCAGGCAATGGTGTCAAATGCTCCAGAAAGGCAAATAAGATATGATCTGGGTACCCCTTGCCCACTTCAGCACCCCTCATTCTCAGCCAGTTTTTCCAGAAAACTGAGGTTATCCACCAGGAGCTGCCTCTCCTATCCAGAATCCTCCTCCCATCCTTTGCTTCTTTCCTCTCCTCCTTGGGAGGAACAGTGGAGGGCAATATACTCTTCTGTCCTGGCCTAATGCCTCCCCTAGAGCCCCAGGTCCCACCCCCTCCTTATTCCCTGGAGACTCGGCCCCATGACTCTTCACTCTCTTCGGGATCTTCCATCTTCTCCCTTCAACCAGCTCATCCTCAGCAACAAACACCCTCTAGTCACTGCCATCTTGAAAAGCCTTGCTGGTTGGATTTACAGTTGGAAATCCCACCTAGCTAGCACCACTGCCACCGTTGCCACTCCTCGGGCTACTCCTCAGCCCCCTCACTGGCCCTTCAGTGCAGGCATTCCAAAGGGTTCCAGTGTTTCACCTTCTCCCCTCCGCTGACTTCTGCCAACATGCAAATGCTGATGACTCACTAGCCTATGTGGTCATTTGTTCACTCAGCCAACATTTCTGGAGCAACTACTCTATTCCAGACATTGTGTCAGACAGTAGGGACACAATGGTGGAGAAGACATTGTCGCCTGACTCTGTGTGGTTTATAGTCTAGTAATAGGTGTGCTAGAA